TATTTCGATTCAGAAAAGTCTAAGCTGGGGGGCTTCGGTTGTAGAAATGTCCATTTTTTTTATTATTGTTGAGATATTTACAATATCCGACGAGCGTTCTTGCTGCAACTGCCGCGCCGCTCACGACTGCCCCGCACGCCACCTTCCCCTGGTCGAGAAACCTAGCGCGCGGTAGAACGGGCTCATGAAGCAGGAATCAGTTTCATGAAACTCAGTTTGTGAAACAGTTTTGACGACATGGCAACATTGCGGCGAGGAATGAAATGTGGCAACCATGTTTAGTCGCTATCCTTCTCTTTTAGCTTGCTTTCTCTCTTCCGTTACATTTTTACCGATACCCGTGATCACAGAAACATATGCGTGTGCCACCTGCCGGTCGAAAATATTTCTAATTTGGTTTGTCTAATGTCCGTTCGCACAACTGCAGCGCGACGATCCGTTACGGCCCTCTTAAGTGTCACCCCGTAAACCCATATTTCGTCTCATTTTGTCGGTAACTCTGTCCTTTACCTTTATCTCCTCGCTAGGGAATCTAGTCCATTAAAATAACTACAGACGAATTCGTCTGTGAAATATGTAGCCACTTGTGACTTGGTATTGTAACCAAAGATGGTGCCAAAGGTATCTTCCGTTACTCCAATTTAAAAAGAATATACTAAAAATTTTTTAATAATTAAACATTATTTTTACAGTAACTACCATTTTACAGATAGAAAATTATGAAGAAACCATTTCATCCCAATTCTCGAGATTTTCTTCTACTTTATGATGCTGCGAAATTTTGCTAAGCAACTGAGAATGTAAACATTAAGTGTATTTTAATGAAGAGAATGATAAACAGTACTTTCCACTCAGTGTTTGTTTTTCGTGTCAAATAGCTGAATATATATATATTATTAGATTAATATGACCAGTCAAGATATTGATTTTATCAAAGGATACACACAACATGCAGAAAGCAAGGCAGGACAAAATTTTGAACTCCACTGTGTGTATCCTACCCTAAACAAGTTAGAAGAGACCAATGTACTTGTTAAAACTACAAAAGAAGATCCTAGAAAATTGAATAAAGAGTTTATGTTAGCAGAGGATGGTTTATATATTCTTGATAGTCCTTTTATTTACAGTGATATGGACCTAGAACTTGATCGTATTCGAGTTTTAGAATACAATACCAACAAACAGTTCTCTGGGAAGCTGGTAGAAATTGTAATCCGTGAAGTCACTATCAATACCTTAAGAGATCAATCGGACGCAATAGATCTTACATCCGTCCATTTGTTATTCAAGAACAAAACTATCTGCAAAGCTAATAAGCCGTTCAACAGAAAATTGCATAAAATATTGATTAAAAACTCAGAATGCCATAATTTTTCTATACAAGTGCATGCCAAAGGTGGACAATCCAGTACGTTACCATTACCATTGCCCAAACGAAACGTTGAAAACAATAAAGTTGAAATAGACTTTGCGATTGGCGATAACTTTGGCAGAGTACATGGTGGAACAGTTACTTGTACAATTACGCTAAGTAGTTATGGTGCAAAGGATCAGAAGTCACACACAACATACTTATACAAATTGAGTAATGATCCAAATGATCCACAGAATAGCCTGTCTTTATTAAGACCATCTAAACCTATTTGTAAAAAGCAGGTCAACTATTTTTTATTGGAGTATCCAGCATTGACTTTTGAAGTCAATGGAGAAGCTGCTGTGTCTACAAAAGTTAAAGTAGATGAAGCAAAGTCTCCAGATATAGTTGTAATGGAGCAACCAGCATTTTCTTTATTCGATATTTCTATCATGGATCTATTTCAAATTAAGAGATCACTGGAACCATCATCAAGCACCCGGAGACATCAAGCAATGGGAAAAACAATTTTAACTGTTAATGTCTTACGTGGAATAGAAGTACCAATTAGAGAGGAGTCTGCACTTGTTCAACCATTTGTGGAAGTCGAATGGGGCAATACTGTACAGACTACGGTGATAGCAGAGGGACCTGCTCCTCTCTGGCAACAGACAATGCACTTCGAATTACCAAAGCAGAATGATGAAGACTGTATAAAATTTCGCTTGTATGATCAACACCCTGTCTGGGGTCAGCAATGGCTTGGAGAATCCAGAATTCCTCTGGAACATTACAAAAATTATCAAGAATTAGAACGATGGATCACATTATCTCCTCTGTTTAGTCCATTGTTATTGTTTGGATATGTGCAAGCCAGTCCTGGCCAATCGTACACTCGTATTTATGTCTTAATTAAAATGGAATACCCAAGTAGCAAGTCCATTGAGAGTACTACCATGCAGATGATACTCAAAGGGATTCCAAGATGTCTTGTTACACCATATAAAATCAATGATTTTGAAAATGCAAAAGATGTTGCAAGATTGGTGATGCTTTTGCCATCATTGCCAATACATTATGGACCAGTAACTCCACGTCAAGCATTGAATATAAAGAAAGTGGATCACTATGGAAGAGCAGCTTTGCTGGGTACATTGTTGCAAGGATTAGGTTTGCAGACATACGTTTTGCTAGGTGTGTGTACTATGTGTTACTATGTACTATGGAAATTGCTAGATAATAGTGACCACAAGAAGCCTAACTGTTTATTTTTCTTCTATAGGTTCATCGCAAATAAGCAAATGGACAGCATTCGTTTTATGTGTCAGTGAGAATGGAATCTACACTTTATGGGACCCAGAAACGGGAAATTACCATAAAATGGACGACAGTCATTGCCCCTTGATGAAAGTGTCTCGTTTGATAAATCACTGTGGTGTTAGTATAATAGTCCACTACAGCTTTATTTAATACAGCATGCATTTTTTTCTTCTTAAAAATAACATGAAATCCAACTCCACAGATATGGGAAAATTTACAAAAGTCGGTACTACCCCACAACATCAGGTATGATGTGAAATCAAGCAAAGATTGGCGACCAATTGAAATACTGTCAATGAAGACCGACCATACAGTACAAGTACTTGAGTTAAGTATCACAGAGGAGGAAATGAAACAATTTAAGAAAAATGCTGCAGAGATAGAACAGCATTTAAAAGATCAATTGTCCGAATGGCGCAGTATAATTGGACTAACGACAATATTTAATCGACATGCAATGACTGTTATGAGGAATTTTATTTCTAAAATAAAGCCTTCCTCAGAACCGCAGTTGGACAAGAGGGATTTAAAACAACTGCACAGAGCTTATCACATTCATGGTTTTGTACTCAACAGACGTGATACCAGCAAAAGTGAATTAGCCGAACAATTGAATGCAACCAAGATTCATAACATTTCTGGACCAATTGAGTTTGCTTTGGTGTGCCACATAGAGCCTTATGTTGGCAAAATTTGTTCGATGTGGCTAGCTCTGATAGTTCTGAGAAGCCGGGATTGATTTTACTTGATACACTAGTATATGTCAGTGTATTCGTTTATTAGATATTTGTATACTCCATTAAAATGAACGTTACAATGCATACAAAGGAGTATAAATAACTAGTGTTTATCACAAAGAATTTTTGCGAAAAGTACTGCATCTGATACAAATCACTAAATATAATACACGCCCTCGTTAAAATCTCGCATATAAAAAGATATCGTGTGAAAAACACTTTGGAAACTATATATTAGAGTCCTACGATTTTTCATCAGTAATATTCCATTGACATTGAATGGTAACGTTCTCAATAAAAAAGTACAAAGTCTCGGTAACAAATCTAGTCAAGGAGACTAAGGTGTTATACAAGAGTCTGGTTCTCTTAATATCGAATAATGTATTATGTTATTTGTATACGGAATCAAAAATTTGTGGTGTTATTGTACCATGAAATTGTAGAAAAGCTTAGTGTATAAATTCAATATTCGTTTAGTGAAAAATTCATGCCTCATTTCTCTGAAGTACTCGAATTGCTGGACCTAGATCATTATGCATTTATAACGTCCAAGAATTTGTGAAACTATGGGAAATCGTGAATATTACAGAAACCAACGGAATTTTTATTTTATTGTTGCAACAAGGTGAAAGAAATTTTTCTTCAACTCTGATATTTATAGGATATGAAACTATCAAAATTGGAGTCTGCATAACGATCCGCAGTCTACTAATTACACAGTTCTATTTTTCATAAAAATTGTAGAGAAGACATGTCTATACATTGTAAAAATTTTTAGTCCGATTTCGGTATACGCATAATTATGTTATAATAGATACATCGAGTGATTGGAAGGATTTGATGAACAAAAACTGTGGTGGTGAACATATTGTTGTACATTTCGTTACGCACGCTGCATTGCGTAGCAATGCGCTGTTTGTCATAACAATTGTAATATTTTTTACATGCCGCGCAATGATTCAAACGGGAAAGAAAAATAATCTTTTAACACAGTAAGATAATAGAAGCATCAAAATCAATAAGTATTCTCTATACAAATTCCACTTAACATAGTTTTTACAATTGCCGTGTATCGGCTCGAAACCGGATGTAAAAATTTTTGCGTTCTTCTACAAATTGACAATTGTATCGTTTCTGTTTGTGCGTTATTCTTAGTCTCTGCGTTCTCAGAAATTGTTACAATTTAAATAAACACGCGCAAAAAAAAATGTTCCATTCATTCACAATGTGTATTTATTGTGTGTGTGCGTGTACGTGTATGTGTATAAAATCGTCGAAAAATGTTTCTTCGTGTAAACGTTCGTGTAATCTATACAATACAAACGAAACATTCTCCGAAATATATAAAACAGTCGCGTATAATATAAATAAACAAATTTTCGTGGTAAACTAACAGCGAATCTTGCTTTTATTTTCTACAAATGCCTAGTAAATAATATTTATTAAATAATCCTCCCTTATAAATACAATGTTAGGCATGTATCTGCAAAATGCAAATTGTTTTTCGTTCACAAAACGTGTACACCATAATCTATGGTTTTTGACGTGTCAGAATCCGAGATTCTTCTTTCTTTTAAAACGATCGATCGCGAAGTACAGTTGATCACAGGAATATTGTCCTAATGACGTTCGATCTTTTCCGAAAATTTCGGGGCAGTGTATTTATTGGAGAATTCCACAAAATGGTATATAAAACGAGGAAGAGCGAAAGATATTATTTATGAAAGATCGAAGCAATGAATTTTTGCGTGGATTAAAATATCGCACAATATGAATAATTTTGCACGATATTGATCATTTGCAAAAAGGTTTGGTAGTTCTGCAAAAAATTGATCATTTTCCACAGAATTGGTTAAATATGCATAAAATCGACGGTTTTGCAGAAAACTGATAATGTTGCTCGAAAATACATAATTTTTTTTGGAAAACTTCCACGTATTTCGTGAACAACCATATCTCTACGTAACGATACGATATTCTACCTAGACGACCAATGTGCGACTACATGCAGGGTGTCCAGTGTTTTCACGAGAAACACGAGTCATAAACGTCTCATCGAACAACTTATTAATTCGTCTGCCTATTGCTCGCTAATTCTACTTCTACTATACGTTCACACCACACCACGGTATTATTTAGTTTCCATTGTCCTCGATATATTTGAATTCTCATTAAACCACGAATTACACTATAACTTTGAACCCCGGAGATTTCAACGACAGCTTTTAGTTCCCAGCATACACCAGATTACCGCGAGAGATAGTATAGATAAAGAAAAACTGAACACGGTAACGTCCGATCGCCTTGTTTTCGTTTCTTATTTGCTTTCACGTGCGCCGAAGAGACGACTAAATAAATAAATAAATAGAAAAAGAATTGAATAACATCGCATCCCTCTTAATATAAACGATAAACAGACCTAAATTTCCTCGGAGAAGAAGGCTCTTACGAAGTTCTCTGAATTTGTGAAAACGGTTTGTTTGTAGTATTGGACACCCTGCAGAACTTCACTGTAATTGCCTTTGACTCGACGATCCGTTGCCACAATCTTTTTACAAGACAGATCCTCACCGTCGGCCACGAAAAAGATCGCTTACATTTAAGCTTACACTTACGCGACATTATCGTATTCGATCGAACGGGCGATCACGTAACTCCTATTGACGACTATAACTTCTATACAGGGTGTTTCGGAAGTCATTCTACCTTGGCTGTCCATTGAAATCGCTATGCGCGAAAGCGTCGCGTTCTTTCGATACAGTATTTCCTCCGTAGCGTCGCGTCTCTGGCCACCGCTTCCCCTCGCGACACAATACGAAACGACAGCAAAACGGCGGCCAATAAGTGCGAAAATAATATAAAATAAATTGTCACTGTTTCCGAACGTCTCGCTGTGTCTAATTACGCGACGTTATGGGGGGAATAAATGAAGTAGCAATTAGACCTCCGTTTCGATGATTTTAACACGTTCCCCTACATGCGTTCCTCTTAATCGTAATTTCAACCGAGTGTTTGTTAACCTCTCGAACGCCAATGGGATTAACGCGACTTTTGTTTTCGATTCAATTTTGTTGCAGCACCTTATAATTCTCCGGCAGTGGTCGTAACGTGACAACGTCAATAACTGAACTTCCGATTCAAACGTTCCGGTGCTGTGAAGCCGGAAGTCACGCAAGAAAACGTATTAGCGAAGCCACGGAATACCAGAATCGAAAGTCCTGCCAGAACCTTCGATACCTTTGCCCCCGAGATCTTAAGGTCTAAGACTTAGATCTACTTACGAACAATGTTACAACTTCTTCAAGTAGATTTCTCGATTCTTTAGACTGGCATTCTGGAAAAGGAGGCTGAACGGACACTTCATTTCAGAAATTCGAAACGTTAGAAAACCGTTCGGTTTAAATGGTTCCAGCTAAACTGGTAAGTTTCGATCCTGCGTACGCACGCGCGCACGTGTACGTATGTATGTAACGCACGTGCATTCGAATAAATTATTTTGGATCTGTATTCATTGTTGACGCATGCGCACCGGAAACCGGTTATCGAACAACGCGGAGTTTCGCTTTTTGTATCCCGTGAATCTATGACGTAAAGCAATAAATTCTACTCGTTGACCGAGATGGCAATCAGCGGCCGAGGACTTCCCTGAACACCGTGTATATTTGACTATAATTTGTATTTACAATATGCTGGGCCAGCGATTCGAGCTCTCTCAGCTCCTCGGTCCCATGTGTGAAACGAAAATTGAAAATCGCAGGCCGGTTAAGTTTACAATCGCGTTGCATCGGTTCGCAGACGACATCGAACTCATGGTGTGGGGATTTATGCGGGTTCGTATGCGATCGTGGGGCCACGGAGTGCACCGTGAACATCCAAGCACTACAATATCCTGGCCGAACGTGGATTTCCGGTTGTTTGATGTTAGCTGAGGCGATTCTCTTCAAGGATCTCCGTCTGTTTCTTTTTTATTCTATGCTCTTCATCGTCGCGACCGCTCGGAAAATACGAGCTCCGACGACGACGCGCTAACATTGTAGCAAATACGATTTCTATTGAGTCTTTTTCGACACACCGTTCGTGTGTCCGTTCGCGATGATCCCGTTGCATTTCATGCCCTCTGTCAGATCCATTTTCATCAGCACGCTTGCTGCCTTCATCTTCTCGAGCTGTCGTTCCGCGTACGCTTGCTTGCCCTGCGCAATTATTTTTATAACGTGTTACACATTATGTTGATCGATATTATCGACTTACTAACATTAGAATTCAAGTAGATCTTACTCTTATCTTTTAATTGCCAGGATGGCAACGAGTACATTCTAGCAATTTAAGAGCTTCTTTTGGATTTGTTACGTACCTTCGCGATGTATGCTTTGGCGTAGAAGTTTCCGAAAAGGGCGATGAACGAGATCATGTAGATTACGAGGGCGTACTGCATCCAAAGCGGGAAATCGCATCCTGATCGAATGCCGTTGATCCCGAGGATCAGGGCAGTGGTGAACTGTATCAGCTGAAGGATCGTCAGGTATTTCTTCCACCAGAGGTATTTAGCGACGGTTGGTCCGAACGCGGCCAGCCCGTAGTACGAGTACATGAGCACGTGGATGAAGCTATTCACCATTGCTGGCAGGAAAGCTGAGCAAACAAGATTTAAAGTTACAATTCTAATTCAACGAGTATACAAAACCTTGCAATGATCCGAGAGTAAAAATTAATACTCGAAATTTTAGATATGTTCCGTTGCGTTTATTTATCTGTAATGTCAATGTAACTGTAGTCTCATTTCTATGCTTTGAACGGGTGCATGTCTGATACTCGAAATTCTACCGTATCTGAATCTCTTTTATTATGGAAATTTAACCGCTAAAGATAAACCTCAATAATTCAGTAATAATAACATGAAAACTAACAATTACAAACTTAACTACCAAACATAAAGTGATTGATCATAAAGTACAATTTTGTAGCTTCCATTTGAGCTTCGAAAGTTAATAAAATACCAGCAAGAAACCAGTAAAACATTATTTTGTATTTTACGTTTCTTAAATAACAGTGGCGCTTGTGACGGAATCAAGAAGCTTTTTTCAAACTCCGTGCAACGCCAATTAGTAGGTGACAGAACACTGAAACTGCTAGTCAAATTTAGTTAAGAATTCTAGCACAAATGGTGCTACTGTGCAAATTTGAACTTGTCTGGTGGCGCCACCAGTGTCGGATTTCTGAACTAAATTTAGCTAACAGCGTTCCGCCACTTACTAATTGGTGCTGTACAGACCCTGAGCAGAGGTTCCACATTTCACCACAAGAGGCGCCTATTACCGCCTAATCAGCGCTTGATTCTTGCCGGATTTTACACTACATCTTATGGCAAAAACGGCAGGAATCATTTGTCCTTGATATTAGCAATAACAAATGAACTTCGTTTGTATGAGATAGCTGCGGGAAAAATTGTCCTGAACATTTCTGTGCCAGCAAAATATTTTGTTATCACCTAAATTGACAGATTCCAAAATTTTAAATGTCATTATCCGCATTAACCTCTAATCTGTGTACTGCGTAACTGTCGCTACGATTTTTTGGATAACTCTGTTGGTCTGACGAAAAGGTGTTCCAAGCAAGAGTTAATTAGTTCTCAGCCGACCACAAATTGCTGTATAAAAAATTTCGAAAAAGTTGTTTTCTCGACAAGATATCAAGGTCAGTTTGGAATTTTAGAATCTTCATCTTTTTACTTCGTATCGTTGAAATGACCTTGACTATCGAAATTTTGTGAAAATGTTCTTGATATCTTGTCAGAAGAAAGCAACTTTTCATCGAATTCATTCATTTATTTTTAGCGTATGAACATCAAATTCCATTTGGTACACTGGTATGGATAGATGAACGCGACGGCTTTCTGTGAGCGAATTCCTTCAGTATACGATCAAGAATTTGATATCTCGGCGCTAATAAGTTCCATGCGAGTGAAAACGCGCGCTCGCGATTTCTCCCCTAATTTATTATACTTGGTCTGGTAATGATTGCTGTATCAGCGCGCACAGCAACACTCGCGACACCTATTTTCGACTTTTATTGGAGACAGAAAGATTTCTAATTGAAATAAGGAAGGTGGTTCATAGGCGTAAGCAAATTAGCACAACTTATGCAGCTTGTTTAAATGGTTCAAGCTAATTGGCTACTTTTACTATGTTCCAAGATGTAAGACAGATTTTCCAAAAATTGCCTGATCAAAAAGACACTTACTTGATCCGCTTGGGACCCATTTGATGCCGATCCACCATAACGAGAACATAGTGGAGTGATGGTAAACATGGAGGAAGCTTAGTTGATTGTTCTTCTTCCGGAGGATGAAGAAGAACGTATCACAAAACTCGAGGAGTTTGCTGAAGTAGTACCACCAAACTGCGTGAGCGATCTGCCGATGGAAAGAAAAAAAATATGTATACATTGAAATTGATATGAAATTTTAGCGTATAGATTTTACCGCACCTGTACTTCGTCTGGACGCGTCACCTGTCTGATCGGCTGGCAGACGTAACTGTAACTTAACCTGGTGGATGCTACAAACAACTGGAAATTACAAATCTCTTTAATGCCGATCGTACCTTTTATTTTCAATAAATTTGGGGATACTGATATAATACTTTCTAACTTTCTATAAAATTCTCGGAGCTATATTCTTTCTACTATAAATCTCTTGCTATAAATTTCTATTCGCTTCTACAATTTGTATAGGAAGTTATTATTTGTTGTAAATGTCCGCAGTGTGCGAGTATTCACGGCAAATGGTAAAACTATAAGTACAATAGAATTTGAGAGACCTCGCTAAAGAGTTGTCAACATATTTAAGTGAAAATTTAACTGGAAATAAAATACGCGAGAATTTCAGCTTTCATTTGGCCAACAGTTGCGAATCTGTCAACTTTGCCAATCTAGTTGCGAAATAAATACAATTAATTAATTTACAGATGCAATGTGTTATGCGCCAAACGTCTTCCATGGTTTTCTGTTTCGTTTATTATTGCCAGAAATGTATAGCATTGTTCAGGTACCGCAGAAACAATAATCAAGGAAAATTATGTTTGTAATATCTTGTAACTTCGTCAGACTTCAGACACCTACAGCGATAAAACGGTACTTAATGTTGCAGTAGAAGAGTTCGGCTAATCAAATCCGAACGAAACCTGATTTCTACATCTGCGAACTGTGTCAGTAGTCACCGCGGTGGCAAACCGACACACGTTCACCGTTCAATTAGCATTCCACCGGAGATTCCTCCGACAAGGCTCGATGATCGCTTGATCATCGGTTGATCAGCGCCGGATTGTCGGATCGAGCGTAACGATGATAAACCCGCGACAGCCGTGACCGTTAGGACACCTTGTGCAACTGATGTTGATGTGGAAATCGGGGACGAGAGGAGAAACACGAGTGGTAGAAAGCAAAGAGATTGTGTATATGTACCTGAATGGCGATGTACGCGTTCAGACAGGCCATCGAGAGATTATAGGGTACGAGGGCCCAGGTCAGCTTGAACGCTTTCCGATTTCTCATGATCTTTGGCCCGGCCCACACTATCAGCAGATACAACATCGTGTAGATCAAAGTAGGCTTCGGCGAATCGACCAGCAGCCATCCTCTCGTTCGTTCGTCTAGGAAAACCCAATGCAATCATGCTGCAATTAATCGTGGGTCGCCACGGACATTGTAAAACACCTGGCAAACTGTAGGACATTGTCTCCTAAATTTCCGATGCTGTTGCAAGGAATAGTATAATGATTAGACTGCGGATTATTATGCAAAACGCAAATTCGCTGCATCAATTGCAAAAAGTTTGAAGTGCACACAGATTTATTTATTCTTCTATTAATTTTGAGAAGTCACGAAGAATGTAATAGCATCTTTATATTTTTTGACAGTTTTCGCTATTGTACATTTGACGTGTCCATTTTGATCATAAGTGCATAAAGATCCGCAATCTAATAATGATACTGGAGCCTAACGCTGATGGCAAAAGTAGCTTTATCGAGCCCGGTTATTTGATGCAAAGCGTGATCTTCCGTGTATCGTAATTTTCAGGATTTCTAATAGTTGGTGAAATGTTCCATAAAAAATATATCTAATATTTTATGTAATGCGATGATAAATAATATATGGTAAATAATAACGGATGATGAAGTGAGACTCTATCATGATATTTTGGGAGCGAAAATTTTCGATGACCGGCAGGTCACCCGTGAGCACTATTTAATAACAATTACGTGTGCAATATTTGATAAACCATAAAACGTCTTACCAGCGAGGGACAGGGTCCAGAGGTAGTAATTGTAGGCGTCATTTATTAACGTCGCCGTGGAATTGAATATGTTCGCCATTGCCTGGAACAGACACATAAGCTTCGGGTCAAGAGATGTTCGTAATTGTAAATTGGAAAATGTACTTCTAGAAAGCGGACGAATGAGAGATTACGTCATGTTTTCATCAATTAGAATTTAGAAAATACGGTGGATTTTCGAAGAACGTAAAAGTGGAATGAGATTTTGCAGAATGCCTAATAGGTACTGCAGCGAGTGAAATTGATTGGTATCTTACGGAATGCATCCCGAGTAGAAGGAATATAATCTTGGACAGGAAATTGCTAACTGCAGTGTAAACTCTCTCCGGCGCTTCTTCCCTTATTTATCCTGGTTGAAAACAATTACCTCGCTCGTTTCTTTTTTTCTTCACTTACACCGAATTTTGACGCTTGCAATGTTTTACAATTAACTGGAGAACGTATATTTCTTCGGAAGTTCAAGCAACCTTCCAACTTTCATTCGCCTGAAGAGCAACAAATTCGTGTATCGTTCATTAAACTGCTTTCACCTCGAATACTTCACTTGTTTAAAGCAAACTGTGACGATTTGCCATAAGGTTTTCGGACACGTGGCAGATTAATTGGGAGGAAAAGGAAGCTTACGTTTTAATGGAACTGACATTCGGATCGCCGTCGTTCGAACACTATTTTCACCGATCTCTCGTGAATACAGTAATTTCTCCCTAATTCGCACTCAAATTGCGCACAAAAATGGACAAAAAATGAGCACAAAATGGGTCTTGCGGCACTGAAATAAAAAATAAACCTTATAACTCGAATCGAATAATCGTATCTCCTCTTCCCAAATCGTCCATTTTTGCGTGCGCAATCTGAGCGCGAATTAGGTAGAAATTACTATACACCTGCTCTTAACAAATTAATTTCGCGATCATCGTACAAAAATTTGAGATGTCAATCGAGAAGAAGCGATTACATTTTGGAAATCATTTTAAACTAGAATGTTCAAACCTGTCGATTGATCCAATTTTTAGGATCGAATACGAAGTTGATTTATAGCAGATCCATTGCGTAATAAACTAGAATTCCATTTGCAATAACCAGTTAACTACAGCCATTCTCGATACCGTAAACGATGATAAACCACGGTGTTCATTAACGTACCGTTCGTTACCGTTCTATTAAGACTGTTACGCTGCAAGTGCAACCGAAATTGAAATATAACTAACTTACGTGCATGCTCCATACAGTCGCGATATAGTCGCGAATGAAGCACCATAAAGTAAACCACTCGCGGTAATCATTGATTACAAATAAACCGCGAGAAATTAGGATGCTCGACATCCAGCTAGCCTAGTTTACAGAAACAAGGATTCCAAACGAGTTTACGTTTTCCGTTCGCTCGATCGGGTTAAGAGAAACTGAACTATCGGACAGAAAAACGTTCGATAGGAACGGGGCAAAGATAAGAGGAAGTTTCTAATTTACTCGTCCCTGATTGGACGTTACGAATTCATCAAACTTCGCAGTACAGGTGTTCGCTAGGTACAGTTTCAGGCTGCCAGCATTAAACATTGACACAGACTACTGGCACTACGTTTAAACAGACTACTACCATCAAACGTTTAAACGTTTAATTTTTCGTCGCTTCGTTCAAGCGTATTGTCTGAAACATTATCTTCGATGGTACTTTCTGAACATTTTGCCCAAAGCAACGTTCTATTATCTTTGTTTCAATTGATAATTCAGCTCCCGAAAAAATTAATCATAAACATTCCGAGATGTTCCGCACTTAAACTGCGGATCAACGTGGCAAATAAAAATATCCTCTATCGATTTCCACGACGATCCTTTACACCTTTCACGATTCTCAATAGCCTGCGGGTAGATCAGGTTCGAAATTTCACTTATCCATTTTTTTTCTAAACATGTCGAATCCGCAGGCTAATCGCGATTTCGTCAGCTAGCGCGGACGTTCGGGGCTTGTAAATGATCGCGCAGAGATTCCGCTCGATAAAACGGAAAGTGGCGGCCAGGACGATAGGATAAGAGCTCCCGCAGAGCTTTCTTCGCGGCGGTTTGAACCGCTGTCATTATCGGGATACTGCTTAATGATCGCCGCCTTGCTGAGTTCCGTTGTCCGGTCGTTCACTCAAAGATGGAAACGTCATATGTAACTTTCACGTTACCGGAGTAGCTCGCTAGCAATCTCCCCGCGTCAGCGGGAATAACGTGTTTCGTGCGATCTTTCGCGGCGCGGCTCGAGTTTCGAGCCGTTCGATGACTTCCCCTTATCCTCCCTCCCTCCACCACCCCAGATCGACTGGAATCTCCAACTTTCATTTGCGCACCGGCTTCGCTCGATGATCCCGTGGCAAGTGCAAGTTCACCCTCCCCCCACCCTGTCTCCCCACAGGCGCCGCCTTGAACTAACCGAAACCTTGTAACGACCAACGGGACTATAAACGGAGCTCGCACGATACGCCACGCTTTGCCACGGTTTTAACAGACTTCGGACGGCAGTCGTTCTTGAAGATTGTCCGTAAAATGAGATTGTTTTTGAGAGCTGAAATTCAAAGGCCTTCGACAAAATACGAAGACCGTCGAAGAAATTTGGGAGACCTTCGAAGAAATTCGAGGTCTTTCATGCTTTTTTGGAGGAATCTTCGTCTTTTCGAATGGAAAATGTTTGAGCAACTGCAATTCCGTGATTGGAACCACACTTTGTCCTCCGAAGCTGTCGCGCTCATTTTCATAAACTGATGATAAATTGTTTCGCGAAGACTCACGAGGAATATTAAAACCTACTGTAATTTTAGAAAAGTACGATAGAATGATTCAATCCCCTAACGACAATGAAAAGTCAATTATCATAAGTTACATAAATCATATAAATAAATATATCGATATAATGTAATAATAATCGATATAATATATCGATATGATATAATATAATAAATCAATATATATTATAATATGAACTCATAAAAAGTCACTACTTATCAACAGCTAACACTTTCACGTATTTAAACGAGGATTTTCCGTCATCCGCTTCACCATAACAAACTCAATAATACAAGATTTCACATAATTATGTTAAGGAACGTTAAGTTATTAATATAAATGTTAAGGTTATTTTTAATTGACCTCAGGAATCATCCCTTTCCGGATGTTAACATAATTATGGGACACCCATGTTTAAAGTAACCATAATTGATACAATAAAATAACAGTAAAATCCGATTGTCAATATACTGATATCGATAATATTTCATTTTTCTCGTTGAAGTCGGACACTTTATTGCTTAGTTGTGACACGCGCTTCAAAGCGAAGTACAGCAGAACATCGATTATTCGAGTTCAAAATAGATTGTTCAATTCTTTTCAGTTTTAATTAATTATTGATACAAATAGGATAATATGATCGAGATCGTTCATCGTTATTACTTGCAACAATAAAAAATCTAAATAATAATAATCAAGGAAATTCCAGTTCGATTAATCGAAATTCTGTTGTAATTAATAGACTGCAGATTTAATGCATTTATAGCAAAAATGGATAATTAGAACCACAGAATAGCGAAGACAAAAAAATTTTTAAATACCGCAGCATTACTTTCACTGTAGTAACACCATTTAAAAAAGAAATACATTCTTATCTCATTTCTGTTTAATATGAGAGATGATGACAAATTTTATTGCATAAAGATCCGCAGTCTAGTAATTGAAAACAGTTCCGTTTGATTCCACGAAGAAGCAATTTGTACCGTCCGAATAGGTTTGAACAGTCTTTCTATGTAAACGTACGTCCGAGAAAGTAGCAAGAGAATTTTCTCGCGCCGATCAAAGTTGTGCTTCGAGCTTCCCCGTTACCTAGTTACAGCAGATTCGTGACAACGTCGTGTGTAACATTCGCGACACACTAAACACGATCTTTTTTTTGCGCACATTATACGACCATGAATCGCGCCGAAACGGCACGCGTTGCCTTCTCTCGCGATTATTCGAAACTCCCGTTAATTTGAAACGCTGACGACACGTTTCTCTATCCGTTTAGCGACACCGCTTCGATTTTCCGGTGTGTGCTATGCGATTTCGCGAATTACACGCATCGCGCAAACCTGTTCCATCGGCGAAACGAAAGCGCGCTCCATACCAGTCCATTATTTATCGGCGATATCTATCCCGACGCTGTCGTTACAATGCCCACAATATCCCCAAGTTTATGTCAACCTACGACATTCCCATGTTTATGCAAGCTCGCGGCACTTTATTTCCCGAGCAACTTTTAGAATAAACGCCGGCATTGAAATCTTCGCGATTTAGTTGCGTACGTTACAATGAATTCTCGGAGAAATCTGTTCGGAAGTTTCGTTGCGCTGCACGATGCATTATTACCAAAATAATGCACGAGGAATCCGCTCGAAGTCTTCATCAAAGTACATTAATCCTTCGATTAAAATAACCTTGACTATTCGAGCGAAAACGACTATATTTGTAGTTGCTTGATTGCAGAGTTTATGCATTTCGAGGAGAAATGAATAAACAAATGCAGAGCAGTGTCTCCAATTTATCGAAACTATTGAAGGAAGAAATAAAAAAGAAACTGTTATGCCATGTAATTGACACAGAAAACGTTGTCCAATAACAATGTCTAACTTTGTCTAGCAATGTCCAATAACGTCAGAAGAATGGAATTTTTCAGAAGCTAAATAAACTCTCTCAGATTTCTAAAATAAAATTTTTCGTTTCTTCGGCTGAGTTTCAATCGTCGTTAAAATCGGCGCGATGGATTCTAAAATAGTTGCAGTTCGTGTCGAACGAAAGTAATTCTTTTCGAATTTCCTCGAAGTGAATTTTTGCGATGAACGCGTAAAAGCCGCGCGGTTTTAGTCACGGTTGTTGCCGATCGAACGTGTTTCATCGCATCGTAGATTGCAACGGCACCGATTCTCCCGTAGCCCGACACTCGAGTGATCTCCACGGTGAAAGTCGGATAAATCGATTGATAATCTCCAGAGGCTGAGTGAAATTACCGGTGGATCGATCTTCTCTTCTTCCCTTGAGCTCTCACTGTCACAAGCCACCGTTCCTCTGAGCTTTCGCGATCGAACTGACAGAACTTATTCGAGTCCACAGTCTTCCGGTATTGGTGTCCATCGCGTTGACCCATTGTCCGCGATTCATTAATATCAATTAATTAATATTAAATAATGTATTCAATCGTACCCGGAACAATTGTATCGTAAATCTCACGACAAAGAGATTTACAAGCCGTTTGCTATTATTAGCGGTCGTAAAACCGAGCCGTTGGACGGTTCGTTAATGTCTTTGGATAATTAATATGTGATGAGTCCCGGTAACGCGCCGAACACAACTGGCCACGTGAAAGTATTTGTTATATTCAAATTAGAAAGCGATAAATAGCTTTACACTCGGTCCAGCTGGCGCGAAAAGATGGCGGTCGCGTTGCAAACGGAACTTTCATGTGCGTCCCATTGTTTCTTCTTGCTTAGCTCGTTAATAACCTGCCTTGATACTTGAATCTGCACTTAGACAGTTCTCTAAATCATTCTGGATACTCGCGACTACTTCTGTGCTGGATTTAACACGTTACGTGCCGAAACTCAACTCCAAAAATTCCCCACGAAATCGACGAAGTAATTTAATTAATGGAACGGAAACTAGAAAGTTAAAAGTTACCATAGTGGACGGTATTTGATCTCTTTTGCATTCTAAACGTTCTAGTAAGATTCAGTTTGTTCGAATTTATTGCAGTAAAAATTAATTTTGAAAATTAATAAAACAAATTAGTGTCACCCGAATGTAAGCGATGCGGCACTGAACGTGTTAAGCGCGTCTTTGCGATTTTAGGTTGAAATCCATTTAGACGGGTGGCCGCCATTTTGGTACCACGCGTAAGATCACTTGTGTTGCTTCATTCGCAGCAAATGTTAGGTCTTTATTCGACTGTATCACTATTTTCGGGCACTTTATTGTTGTTTTAAGAGACAGTTGTTAATATTTTACGTGACGACACAAAAAGGGACTTTTACTTCTTTACTTTTTTCTTTTACTTTTTCTTTTACTTACTTTTTTTTTAACTTTCTTTTACTTTTCTTCTTTTAAATAGCGATTTTTGATAAAATTATTAAATTATGCTACCGTGGATAACTTGTTAGTTTACGATTTAAATTATTACTGGCATTAATGAATTTATTAAATTCTGTACTAAAGTCGACGACGATATATATATATCTTTACAATTTTGTCTTTCGTCTACTCATTTTTTTTTTCATGATTTCATAAAATCCACGCTCTATAAATTATTATTATACTTCTATTCCTGTTCTATTTTCAACCATTCTCATCGTTATTGTCACTCCGTTCAATAATCCTTATGAAAATTATCTATGACCCGACCTAACGATTACTTTCTTTATTCTCGAGCCAATCTTCAAGATTCCAAGACTACAATGCCACTTGTAATATAATGTTGCAAAGTTGACCGACAAAAGGCATACTTGTTAGACAGAACAGACGTTGAAGAGACAGCCACAAGGGATATCCCGTTGACAGTATACTCAGCTACCAATGACTGGCGACTGATTTAAAGTCTCGGGGACTGTCAATTAATGAAGAAAAGTTGCATGAACGAGTCCCGAGAACGAGCCGACAGTGAGTGCCTCCAGTGAATGGTCTCTCGAGAGCTGACGAAGAGAGTCGCTCGCGCAAGAGATACATCACAGATTTCTACAAGCGACACTCAAACGACCGTGGACCAGACCTCCGAGTTAACTACACCAGGAACTCGTGAATAGTCCCCGAAGAAGGTCGCGTACTTCACCGTAGAGAACTTGAAGAAGACGAGCTTGTCGAACGCGACGTTTAGAGAGACATGATAATTAGACTATTACTAGGTTCGCACTAAGATTACACTAAGTTTCATGTATTCGTGACAGAAGTTATGAAGCAATATTTAGAATGGTCGGCGGATTAAGAGATTGTAAGAGCGTGAAAATATACCTTGTTTGAAATTTGATACAGTTGTTGAAATGAGAAGCAAATTTTGATCTTTTTTTGGATAAGAGAAATACTTATGCTAGAAAGTTTATAGACCTTCCAGGAAAAGTCTACAAAAATTACTTTTCTTTTCTGATTCANATTCAGTTTGTTCGAATTTATTGCAGTAAAAATTAATTTTGAAAATTAATAAAACAAATTAGTGTCACCCGAATGTAAGCGATGCGGCACTGAACGTGTTAAGCGCGTCTTTGCGATTTTAGGTTGAAATCCATTTAGACGGGTGGCCGCCATTTTGGTACCACGCGTAAGATCACTTGTGTTGCTTCATTCGCAGCAAATGTTAGGTCTTTATTCGACTGTATCACTATTTTCGGGCACTTTATTGTTGTTTTAAGAGACAGTTGTTAATATTTTACGTGACGACACAAAAAGGGACTTTTACTTCTTTACTTTTTTCTTTTACTTTTTCTTTTACTTACTTTTTTTTTAACTTTCTTTTACTTTTCTTCTTTTAAATAGCGATTTTTGATAAAATTATTAAATTATGCTACCGTGGATAACTTGTTAGTTTACGATTTAAATTATTACTGGCATTAATGAATTTATTAAATTCTGTACTAAAGTCGACGACGATATATATATATCTTTACAATTTTGTCTTTCGTCTACTCATTTTTTTTTTCATGATTTCATAAAATCCACGCTCTATAAATTATTATTATACTTCTATTCCTGTTCTATTTTCAACCATTCTCATCGTTATTGTCACTCCGTTCAATAATCCTTATGAAAATTATCTATGACCCGACCTAACGATTACTTTCTTTATTCTCGAGCCAATCTTCAAGATTCCAAGACTACAATGCCACTTGTAATATAATGTTGCAAAGTTGACCGACAAAAGGCATACTTGTTAGACAGAACAGACGTTGAAGAGACAGCCACAAGGGATATCCCGTTGACAGTATACTCAGCTACCAATGACTGGCGACTGATTTAAAGTCTCGGGGACTGTCAATTAATGAAGAAAAGTTGCATGAACGAGTCCCGAGAACGAGCCGACAGTGAGTGCCTCCAGTGAATGGTCTCTCGAGAGCTGACGAAGAGAGTCGCTCGCGCAAGAGATACATCACAGATTTCTACAAGCGACACTCAAACGACCGTGGACCAGACCTCCGAGTTAACTACACCAGGAACTCGTGAATAGTCCCCGAAGAAGGTCGCGTACTTCACCGTAGAGAACTTGAAGAAGACGAGCTTGTCGAACGCGACGTTTAGAGAGACATGATAATTAGACTATTACTAGGTTCGCACTAAGATTACACTAAGTTTCATGTATTCGTGACAGAAGTTATGAAGCAATATTTAGAATGGTCGGCGGATTAAGAGATTGTAAGAGCGTGAAAATATACCTTGTTTGAAATTTGATACAGTTGTTGAAATGAGAAGCAAATTTTGATCTTTTTTTGGATAAGAGAAATACTTATGCTAGAAAGTTTATAGACCTTCCAGGAAAAGTCTACAAAAATTACTTTTCTTTTCTGATTCAGCATAAACTGTTAAAACTAGACGGTCGTGCGAGAATGATTTGATACTAATAAAACAAACATTATAAAAATCGAAATACAAAACGAATATCAAGATTGATCTATGAAACGATCTACAAGAATCCAGTACGATACAACGTATAAATCATGGAAACTGCTTCAAAATGTAGTCTACCATATTACGAAAAAGATTAAGACAGAAGGTATAGATATTTCCAAGGGAAAACTCCGAAAAATCGCAGGTGCTTCTGATCGGCCACAAACTTTCGAAACCAAACGTTACGAGAAATCGTAAAATCTTTACAAAACCACAGAATAAAAATGCTTCACAGAGATCCCCTTCCTGCACTTTTTCTCGCAAAAAGCCCGCCCAAGACCCAGCACAAAGATCGCCCCAAAAACCTTCTCAACAATCACCGAAGGATATCCCTCAATCATCGAGCCGGTAATAAACTTTTCTACAAAAATCGCAACGAAAACGATCTCCACGTTTATCCAGAAAATTCCATTGGAGAGATCCACCGTAGGTGCTCGCGTGGCACGAGAGACCGTCCGGAGGCGCAGCTCTTACCTTGAGGACCCAGATAGGTCAGCGTTCTCCGGAAGTGCGAATGTGATTCCCGTGGACGGCAACAGGCGTGGAAGAAACGACTCTCGCCGAGCGGAGTCGACGTCCTGAACACCTGGCTTAACTTATCGAAACTCGTGCGGTGGTATAGCCGGCGTGGCACCTCAGAGGAACATGACCCGTACTCTATCTAAGCCGGAGGTGATCAGACGGACGAGACACTGGCGGAGGTGACACCTGGATCCTCCCAGGTGTTCGGTCTCACTCGGGGGAAGGTGTCGCGGATCGCGATACGTCGAGGTCGATGAGCAAAGTGGCAGCGCTTCGCGCCCGCTTCGCCGGTCAGCTTTATAACTTTGGTCCTACTTTGGCGCTTGGTTTCGGTTGCTTATCCTCCACCTTGTCGCACACCTCTACGCCGCGCACCTCCCCTCCCGGCAGACACCCCCACAGGCGAGACGGTGTGCGGCGACAGGCTACGCGAAGGGGACGCGTTCCTCGAACGAGGCCGAACGAAGGTTTCCTCGTGGAGGTAGTGGGACCTGATACCGTGGGGATAGATCGTCCCGAATCGGTCGGGCCCGAACCGATCCCCGCGGCTCGATCTTTCTCTCCCTCCCCACCCCCGGCGCGGAGATCCTCGTCGGCCAGTCGACCTATGAGGACCATCGACGGTCCCCGCGGGAGCCAGATCGCGACGGAAACCGGCGCAAGGGCCTCGGGGTGGAGGTAGTAATGGGAATATAATTCATGACTGATGTTATACGAGGCGAACGTCGTGAATCGTAGTAATGTAATGTTATGTTTATTTAATGTGCGAGGATTACAAGCCTCTTATTACACAGTTGCCAAAATCTTGTTCTTTGATTTCATAGCTTTCTCTTTATATATATAGAGGGTGTTCTGAAAATCGTGGTACAACCAGCAAGGGTGTGATTCTACATGCAAAAATAAGCCGAGAAAGAGGAATAACACTTTTTATTTAAGGCACCGTTTTTGAAAACAATTAGGTTGGAATAGGAATACTAATAATATTACTATTGAATAGGAATCAACTGGCGCGTCTGGTCATGATATATCAATTTTACTTCTCCTCATATTACAAGCCACGCGAATTTGACGCATCTTTCAAATTCAGTATATATTAGGTCGAGTCATAAATAACTTTCGATGCAGCCAGATAGAATCCGTTGTTCGTATCTACCCACTACGAGTCACCTCTGGGTGACTGCAATTTGGGTTGTCTGTAACCGAGTTTTTGCTTTCGCTAAAAATAGATAAGAATTGAAAATAAATAAAATAAAAAAATACTTTCGCTTCGTTATCAGACAATTATTTTGTTTCTTGTTTTATTTACTTTTTTGTTTTTTATTTATAATACAAATAAATTATATAATAATTATAATATATAAAGAATAAATATATATTCGAACATATTCAAACACGATACGTCGAGTCGTCGCGTCAGATGACGTTGACCATCCTGTAGTATGCAACGTAAACTTTCATGCCAGTGTTCTCCCCACTACTACCCCCACCCCGAATTCCCTGCGCCGGTTTCCGCCGCGATCTGGCCACGCGTCAGCGTGACTTGCTGTGTGTACGGTGTGCCCACCACCGCCGCCGCGCCGATAGAAACCGGCACCGTTTGTGTAACACCGGCTACACGACGACTCCGACGTGGCCCCGATTCTTCGGTAGAGAGAGCGACAGAGAGAAAGAGAACGAGAGAGAGAGAGAGAGAGGAAAGCGCGTAGGGAGAGAGTGCTTGTTTTGGAAGAGACGGTCCAGGAAGCTGGATGTGCCACGAATTTGTGAACAGGGCTTCTAAGATTCAATTTGTGGAATCAAGATGGTTCGATATGGAGATGACGAGGGTAGAGTGATGACCTTGGAAGTCAGGGTTCGTTTGGTGGAGCATGGTTTATGTCTCTGATTTATAGGACATCGATGAGGACATTTTGTGGAGTCAGAGAAAGAATTTTGTTCAGAGATTTTTATATTTGTAATAACGCTGGACACTATTATGTAGACAATATATGAGCCATTGAAAGCAGAAATGGTGTAAATGGCATTAATTTGTGGATGATGAAAGATAAATTAAAAGTTTTGTAAAATGTAATGATATGAAAAATTAATTACAACTCTTTTATGTAACTCATTTTCAAGCTTTAACTTAAACTAATAAAAAAAGATCGAATGAAATGATAAGTTAAACATGATTTAATAATATTAAATCAATCTAGTAAAAAATTGACTTACACCACTTTTGCTTTAAACGGCTCGCATATTCATATTATACTAAATAGTCACAACTAGGCTGCAGATTTTATGCATTTATGACAAATATGAATAGATCGAATAGAAAACCGTAAAACCATTTCAGGAATTTAAATATATAATTGCATTAACGAAATGAAATGCTCAATGAAATAATTAAAGGAGGAACGAAATGTCTGTGCAGCTTCTGTGTCTTGTAAATAATCGCAAATAATTATCATTTCGCACAAAAATCCGTATAACAATGACGAGAAACATGTATTACCCGCATCATCCGCAAAGATTGTTAACATAAACAAACGGGTTTGCTTCTCGTACGATCTCAACATTCCTGTCATCTTATTGGATTTACAGAGCACAAGAAACAGCTGTTTTATATTAGTTTATAAAAGTAACAATAGTGTTATTGTAACATTTGCCGCAAGTAATTCATATCTTTACGATATGAATAATTGTAAATTAAAAAATTAGTGACCCGTCATTTTGGCAGGTTCCGTAAATCTAGTGTTAATGATTCAACAACATCGAACTTCGTTAAACGTCGCATTAGAGCAAGAGCATTAGAGCAAGATTCTACAAAAACCTTTGCTCGCCGAGCAAAGCAATCAGGAGAAAAACGTTTATGCTAATAAACGGGTACGTAAGACGACGAGAACACGATCGCCCAAACGAAGATCAGCTCGTTCCAGCTACGTTGACATGTTCAACGCCCACAATCGACCACCAAAATTCCCACAAAAGTCAGAGCAGTTTACTTAGTTAAACCGAAATTAGAAAGTTAAAACTTACCATAGTGGATGATATTGGAACTCTCTCGCATCCGAAACATCCTAGTAAAATTCAGTTTGTTCGAATATATTATATGAATATATTAATATATTGATTAATAATAATAATTTTATATATAATATATTATATATATTATATTATTATATATAATATATTATATGTATTATATTATTATATATAATATATTATATATATTATATTAAATAATATATTATAATATATTAATAATTAGTGTCAACCATATTTGACCGACGCGGCGCCCAACGTGTTAATACAAAATCATATTGAAGCATCCAGCGGCGAACGCATTAACAACAATGTCCGCTTAACCAGTGTGTCGAACAAGTAATTAATTCCACGGATCGTTAATTACTCCCGAAAAAAGACTGTGCACGCGTTCGCCATACCCCGGCGGGTTTCTAATTCGGGTCAAGGTCGTCCTGGAACCGTTCGAGAGATCGGCTTTCCTCGGTGACGAGAGACCGAATCCCCGTCGGTCCGACTCTGGCGCGACGTTGCGTTCCGTTAAAGTACCGTTTTGCTTTCTATTAGGTCACTTCTGGACCTAACTAGCCGCCGCTTCTCGTTTATTTCGCACGGTACAGCCTGCCGCCTTGTGTTCGTTCAGAAATCCCCGGCGCGGTGCGTGTACCACGCTAATGGCAACGCTTTAGTCGCGCGGGATGTTAGAAAATGTATGACAAAACGAGCCTAACATCCTCGGGAAGCTCGGTCCGCTCCGTCTTAATCAGGCGTGTTCGACTAATGGAGTTCTATTAATGAAATCAGCGTGGCTTCGATTAGGATATGAGAAACGCTGGGATTGAAAGGGTGTTCATTATCGTACAATTTTTATTTCGTTAATTAAGTTAGCTCGATTTTAGGGAATTTCGTTAGATTGCGCGCTCGAGAAAATTAGGTGAACGTGTTGACAGTAACTCCAATATCGTTCCCGAGCTTGTCGATTGCTTTTGGATCATTGTTACAGAAATTTTCAAAAATCTCCACGAAAACGACGGTCTTGGCAATTTTAAACAATTTACTGTTTGTTCAACGAGGGATCTACTAGATTCGTTTTTTCCCGCAGAGACTAATTGCTTCGTGGAGGAAAGCCAAACCCAGAACGATGCTACGTCGAATGATTGATATCATGAAATAGATTTTGGAATAACGAGGCTCGGATTTTTTTTCAATCTCAATACGCGATACACAATTTCCATGAATCTGTATTCTTCTTCGCAGGACACTAGAAAATTAGCAAACGGTCGAAGACTGCCCGAAGCGCCCAGGATTCGTGATCGATCGGCGGCCATTATCGGTACAAATTGCGTTACGGTGAACGGTTAATCGAGTTATCAGCAGTTAATGGGGTCTAATAAATCTGCGACCGAATTACTCGGCCATTTGTGAAACAGATTGTCGACGTCGATGAAGCAAGGATAGCGCGACCTGCGAGCTGAAAGACAATAGAAGGTGAGACGCTGTTCGCGTGCTCAGGATCTAGATAGGGCTAAACCGTGCCCACCGGTGCGCGAACAGAATAATCCATTTGCAATTCTAAGATCGATATCGAGAAATCGAACGATTTACGCTGATCTGCATTCAACCATAAATCGCGATCTTCAGAAAATATGACCGCCATCTTGAATTCGACTGATTCGGACTAGGATGTTGGCTCTGAACGAATTGATGTAAAAAGCGAGATGCAATTAATATAAAAAGCATGAAGCAATTAATGTTAAAAACGTAAAACAATTAATGTACAAAGTGTGAAGCAATTAATGTAAAAAGTGTTAATCGATTGATGTAAAAAGCGTGAAACAATTAATGTAAAATGTGTAAAGCAATTAACGTAAAGAGCGTAAAACGATTAATGTTAAAAGTGTCGAGGAATTGATGTTCAAAATCTGAAACGATTAACGTGGAATGCGTAAATCAATTAATGTCTAAACTGTGCATCAATTAACGCGAAGAACGGAAATCAATCGATGCGTAAGTATGACGACTCTTTCGACCGGACCTACTTCGCGGCAGAGATCGAGGATAAAAAAATTAATCGACGCTTGGCAAATGTTTTGAGAAAAATCGACGATTATGCGGACGGTCAAACAAGCTGGAAGCATGCGTTGCTATCTGACGCTTTCTCCGGATGCGAGCTGGTGTAAACATTTCAGGTATTCCAAAAAAATGGTTTAATTGTTGAATCTATTGAAAATTCGATTTCTGAAGGCGCTCGAGCTTGGTCACTTAGAAAGATGGTAATATT